TGTTTAAATTCTTGACCAAGAAAAAGTTAAACATGGAAAAAAAATCAAAAAATGTAGTAAGAAGAAACAGATTACCAAAAAAACTCATTATACACCAACATCAATAGACTATTTGAACACTGATGTATTACAGATACATACAAATAATAATTGTCTATGGATTACACAGACACCAATGATCTGGATCAAAAGTACAAAAGGCAGTTTAAATCACAACTGCAAACACAACTACATTATTTGACGAGAAAATCATTTCAACTCCATCAAAATCACAGTCAAAATCGCCTATTCCAGGTCAAAATTAAATGTCATGTATACATATATCAACTTCAAATTGTACACAAACAAACAGTTACAAAGATGGGGTGAATCCGTGAGAGTCCAAAAAATTGTACAATGTGACTTCAACTCCCTCTGGCGTACATTTCCAACGTGTCTGTCTTTTTGTCTATATCCCATTAAAATAATACACCGTGGAACTGAAACTTATATTAATTTTTTTTATTTCATTTTATTTTAAGGACCAGTGTAGAGAGAGAGAGAGAGAGATTATTTATAAATTAAACAGCTATGAATTGAACTCCGTGAAGCTGAAACCTGCATCGGGAACATACCTGAAAATGGAGTTTTGTTCCCTCCACCGCAAAAGACCCTCCAATTTTGGATTTTATAATATTTGATTTAAATTATTTTATGTAGATTATACAATTTTTTATGTCGAATATTTAAAAAAATAACCAAATTTTCTGTAAACCATAGATGACTTGATTATTTGGTGTGATTTCTTAATCTCAATATGGTCCTTAGAGAGGCCGTCCCGTGCTCGGTGCACACAAGGAGCTGTTACAAATAATATACTTCCTCCGCCCCTCTAAGACGTTCTCATTTTGATTTTTGGTCGTTTTTAAGGAGAATTGAAAAAAGGTGAAAGTTTACCATAATACTCTTACTGAAAAATGAGTGGAGTGTATTAAATTAGGTGGGTGAGGTGTAATAAATAAAGTAAGTGGGGGTAGTTGTGGTATTTTAATTGTTAAAAAATGAAATGAGAAAATTTATGGGGGACAGAGGGAGTAACTGTCAAACTTCCGTTGTCAGGAATATAAGATTTACGGATTTGACATCCTTTCCTTGGACCAGTTGAGTTATTCATGCGGGCAATCACGTTTACATTTTAGAATGTAAGAGTGATGGTCTAATCTTGTAGAAATTGATAAGGGAGAAAATATTCTGTATATTGAATTGGCTTGTGCTTACAAAGGTCTAACTCCCTTTATATAGGAAGAGAGTAAAGCATTTAAGTAACTTTTATTCCTACCATATTTCTATTCCTACTATAACAAGAACTAAGCAAACTAGGAAAGATATTAAACCGAATCCCAAAGGGATTCAGTTTTCTTCTTTGATTCGGCTTCCTTCTTCTGTCGCCAACACCCCCCCCCCTCAAGCTGAAGCATGGGAGTTCAACATGCTTAACTTGGACATCAAAAGATTGAACAAAGCAACAAAGCTTGAGGAAGCCGCTGCCATCGTTGTCCAAGTGTCATCTAGACACTTCAATTTTTTTTCTTCAACGGAGACGCCAAGCTTTTCGAATCCGCCGAATAATTAGTCGAGTAAAGGAACGCCATTCTTTTCGAACCTTCATCGTATTCGAACAAACAGGGGGAACGCCATTCTTTTCGAACACCCTGAACGCTGATTTTTTTTATTGCCTGCTAAGGAAAGAGTTGTCTGTCTCTGTAAAACAACCCTTCTCGGACAACTTCTTCAAGATTGATGGTTGGGCGGGATTCCTCGACAGCAATGTTTTTCGTCAAAGGAGTTCATGATATTTTTTAGTGAGGGAGAACAACCAAAGAAAATCAAAACTTACAATATCCCGCCGGTAGGCATTGAATTTTGTATGCCCACCGGCAGGGGAAGAAGCGTGTTTGAGGTCTCAAGAATTCAAAACTTGCTCCGATACCATGTAGAAATTAAGAGAGAAAATATTTCTGTATATTGAATAGGCTTGTGCTTACAAAGGTCTAACTTCATTTATATAGGAAGAGAGTAAAGGATTTAAGTAACTTTTATTCCTACAATATTTCTATTCCTACTATAATAAGAACTAAGCAAACTATGAAAGATACTAAACCGAATTCCAAAGGGATTCAGTTTTCTTCTTTGATCCGGCTTCCTTCTTCTGTCGCCAACAAATCTCCATAATAAAATGGAAACTACTTAACTTGCCACATATATCTTGCATAGTTATGTACTAAACGTGAGAGTATCATTCATGTACGATGAATGAAAACACACGAGTGACAACTCTATGTTTGGTCTATTTCAATGAGGATGTTGAGTTTTTTTTTTCTGAAAAATTAAACAATGTAGTATTTTTTCCGTTCTAAAATTAACTTCTCAGTTTGACTTTTAGGACGGAGAGAGTATTATATCAGTGTTGAAAGTGTTATATTTCGTAATGTGTCTTAGTATTATTCGAATATTAGTTTGTATTATATTTTGGCAATATATTTTGGCACTATTTAACTTTATAAATCTTATTTTGGTATATGAAAGTGCTAATATTTGTTAATCATGGGTTATTACTTTGCATTAATTCTTCTTTCTACCCACACCATTTTTTTCCAACCATTTTCTCATTTCTTTCTTTTTCTTCTTCTTCACCTCCGGACCTTACATAGGCCACCAAGGCACCACCATTCACACTGACACGATAAACATATCAAATAGGGAATAATTTCAGACATCTCCCAACTCAAACAAAGATCGAGAGATTGAAGAGAAAAAAATTGAAGGAGAAGAAAAAGAGAATCGAAAGGGTGAGGTAGAAGAATTAGAGCTTGGGAGATTGCTATTCTGATTGATCGGTCCAAAAAGGCGGAATCGCCCACCCCAGGCGCCCCCACCGGCCACCCCTGACCCGACATGGATGGTGGAGAAGGTAAATCATGGTGACTCAGTCGACCAAGAATGCTAGACCCATGCCCCCGCGCACAAGGAGCTTCCTCACCCTTTACGTGATTTTTGCTATTCTGATTCATAATCAATAGGAAGCTGACCAAGCAAAAATTGACCCGAAATTTGACCCAGAAATACTAGGTTTTGAGTTAGAATTTTGTTGACCGAACAAGAAGATGACCAAACTCGAAATGACCGACTAAAATTGCAAGGGTCAAATGATACGATGAACGTATCGCCGGCAATTGATACGATGAACGGGTTTAGAAATATAAAAAATATCGTTTACCCGTATCCAAACTCATACCCGTTATTTTAAAAAATAAAGGGTCGGCTAAAGAACGAGTAGTCATGACCAATTTAAAACTCGTACCGGTTAAATAGATAGATAATATTAAATATTACTCCCTCCAGTCCTAAAATCATGGGAGTTATTAATTTTTAAGAGATTCCAGGAAAGTGTATTTTGGTATTGAATTTCCAAAAAAGTTCTTTGATGTGATGGGTAAAAATATGATTTGATAAGTAGATTATTAGTATAAAAATATGATGTGATAAGTAGGGTATGAAAAGTAAGGGGTAAAATTGACTTTTTAATATAAATAAGAAGTGTTTTCAGGGACAGAGTGAGGACAAAAATGTACTCCCGCTTGTTCGATACTCTCCTTCTTCGTTGGCTGCGTGGAATCGAAATTTATTGTTATTTATTTCACCATATTAGAAACATGTACACGTTGGTTTTTGCAGTAGTATGAAATAAAAAGTTTGAAATTAGTTGTAATGTGATAAAGAATATTCTTGCAACATGAATGAATGTGACAAGAAGACTAATTATAAACCTAAAATTTTTGTTGCAGATTTTTGGTAAAGAATCCTGATTTTTGTTACAGTAATGTTTTACTCCTATTTTTGTTTTTATTCAATTAAAATGTTTTTCATTCATAGTATTTTCACTAAACGTTTTTCAATTATACAAAAATAAAAGACGTCAACTATTAAGGTTAGGATCAATTGTTTTAAAAAGGGTATGGGTATATAAGACTATGGACTAACCTGAACTCGACCTATTCCCAAGCCTAAATTTGTGTATTAACTATTAAGGTATAAGTCTTGTTTGGGAATTGGGAACAACGTTTTTTTATTAGCGTTAGCATTTTGGAAGAATTTTTAATGGTGTAGATTAATTCTGAAAACGCTAACGTTAAAGGATATTGTCGGATAGCCTTTACATTTGGGCCTGTTTGGGAATAGCGTTAACTTTTAGCGTTAGCGTTTTGAAAAGACTATCTACGGACAAAGCGTTAGCGTTTTCAAAATAATCTGCACCGTTAAAATTTTATCCAAATAGCTAACACTAATTTCTAACGTTATTTTCAAACAGGTCAAAATGTTCACACTAATCTCTAATGCCGATGCCTAATGGAACCATAAACTCATTAAAAGTTAACAGATGGCTCAAAAGCGACAAAAAAATTAGATGCATTTCTACAACAAATTAATACGTATTAATTCATTTACACCATAAGCGTGAAATAAAGAAGTTGATAAAAAAACAGATTCCCCAAATCGTGAGAAATCTCGTTTAGATTTTGTGGGAAGAATCTCATTTTTTTAGTGTTTACTGTAATTTTTTTCAAATACACACTCAAAAATTCGAAATGTTAAAATTTCATTCCTGGATATCCAATTTTTAATATCCATAAACTCATTAATAGTTAACCGATGGCTCAAAAGCGACAAAAAAATTAGATGTATTTATACAACAAATTAATACGTATTAATTCACTTACACCATAAGGTGATAAGGATGAAAGAAGTTGAAAAAAAACAAACGCCCCAAATCCGGAGAAATCTGGTTTAGATTTTGTGAGGAGAATCTCATTTTTTAGTGTTTGATTTTTTTTTAAATACACACTCAAATTCGAAAAGATAAAAATCTCATTCTATTTGATTTTTCCTGGACATCCAATTTCAAATATCGGTAATCTTACATATTGATCAAATATCTATTTTTGGATGAAATCACGGTGAACCGTAAATTATGTTTCGAATTGGATATTTTTTGGGCAGTGGAAATTCACTTCACCCTCCTATGTTTTATCTTCTCTTTATCGCGATTGGGGTGTTATACGCCGCCTCCATCCCCGTTATCATGGTGTAAACGCCACCGCGTTAAATGTTTGACGCAGTAGAGAGCCGTTACCTCCCCCTTCCCAAGGTAATATTTTTAGATCATTGCCCAAATTAAAAAAAATAACTATAAATACCCTTTGATTTTTTTAAAAAAATATTCTTTTTCTTTTAATTCTCTCTACAAACCACCTAAAAATAGAATCTTTAAACTTACAGTAGATTTGATTGAACATATTTTTAGTCGCTCCGTGTAATGTAATTTTTTAGTTTTTTTGTCGTTCGAGTAATTTTAAGCCTTTCTCTTTTTATTAATGTAATTTTTTTTAGTTAATAATGTATTCTTTTTAGTCAATGAGTTATTATCATTTAAATTTAATTAATTAACCAAACGTTATTAATTTAATTTCACAAAATATGTACGGAGTATTAAAAAAACGTTTGAAGCCGAGTTTGAAGCTTCGGGGCTTCAACCCTGTTTCTAGTGAAATTGTGATTGAAGTTAAAGCTGATGTGGGAGAGAGAAAAAGTTTGAAACCCCGCCCCGGGGTTTCATGACCATTTCCAATGCTCTTAAACCGTTCTAAAGACTATGGTAGTGGTATCAGTGGAATATGATGGGTCAAAACTAAAAACTAAAAATACTAAAAAGAGTATTTGTATATATTTATGTTAGAGTGCATCCACATTGGAAGTTCAAGAGTGAAATAATTGGCATATAAGCTCTTGAGTTAAACTAACTAATTGATTCGATTCAATCTTTTAATCTGGTTTAGATCAAGTGTCTTATTGCTCAATCCAATGATCCATATCCCTTTTTAAATTCTATCATGATATCGTAGCAGGTTTTAATCCACCTCATTTGTCAAGGTATTCGTCTAGCCATTCATTCCTAGAGGCTCATAAGTCTTTAGCCCAGTTGTCCGTATGGAGTATGTACCCAACGGCCAGTGACCCGTTTAACACGATTGCTCGTCTAGAAGTCCATACTCAACGACTCATGATCCTTTAGGTGTTGGCACAAAAAACATATGGGCATGAGAGTCCATCTGCAAGTGGTCAGCATGTTAGGTTTAAAATGACCCGGTTGTCCACTAGATGAGAGTGTTAGAGTGCATCCACATCGGAAGTCCAATAATAAAATAATCGATGTATGAGCTCTTGAGTTAAACTAACTAATCGATTGGATTCAATCTTTTAGCGTGATTCGGCTCGAATGTCTTATTACTCAATCCAATGATCCATGCCCCATCTTAAATTCTATCAATTTACATTTTAATTGATTAAGATATTTTTTTAGGAATATCATATTCGATTAGCGTTCGTATTCTAGATAAAGTTTTAATGAGTATTTTTCAAAGTCTTTAAAAATATCGAAGTATTCAATTTGGATTTTCAAGAGTCTTTAAAAATTTTAAGTTATTCAAAAATCTATGAATTTTAATACTCTATGGATTTTGTTGGATTTTCTCTCAAAAAATGCTTACATTTTACTTCGAAAAATCTCTTACCACAACCCTAGATTTCTATGGACGTCCATAATTCCATATTCGCACACACGATCGTCTTTATCAGCTCTCGTCTCCCGGATCCGGACCATTTACCCATTTGTTTTTCGATTGCGACTGTCCACACGTTGCTCTGATCTTCGTTCGCTGATCAGTCTACTTCTTTTGTTTGGATCGTTTCGCCCTCCTTGGGTATGTCCATCGCTCTGTCCGTAATTTCAGGAATGCAAAAGCAAGAAGCTATTCTTATGACACATGTGGCTTGACTGACTTCAATGATAAATATGCAGATAAGGAAGCATGCGAGGTTAATCCATCATTTGGTACGGCCCATAGGGGCGGGCCCCGAAAGGCAGCGTAACCAGAGTATGTTGTAACGGTAGAGGGGTTTTGGAGATTTGCTAAGCAGTGGATCTTATTTGGGGACAACGAGAGTGGATTTCTTTTTGCAAAAATTCTATACATGTATTTTTCAAACTCTATATAGATTTTACAAATTTTTTAAACTCTACAAGGATTCTACAAAAGAATCAACCAAACTCTACATGGATTCTACAAATGTTTCAAATCCAGTAACTTTTTAAAATCTAAAAACCCTAATAAAATTTTAATTGAATACGCCCCTAAGCAAAAGTGTTTGAAAAAACAATTTACAAAGTAATTAGTGTATTTTATTTCAAGAGAGAGACATCATTTGTTTAAAAGAAAGGAAGAAAGAAAGAAAACCAGATCTTGTAAATATGATGGCCCAAAACAACACAAATGCACTCACAAAAAGCCGAAACAAACCCTCCAAGAAGACCCTCAAAGGCACACAATAAATACCACCAAACCTTTACTCTCTCTTCCCCCCAACCCACCAAAATCCCCCTCTCTTCTCCCCTCCCAAATTCCGTTCCCCCGAAAACAAATCTCTGCGATTTTTCCTCCAGATGGCAGTAGCGACGTCGGAGCTGCCGCCGCCGCCGCCGCATCCGTACCTGGTCGAGAAATGGAAGCTCTCGAGGAAGGAGAGCTCCGCCGCCGTGAAATCGGCGGCGCCGCGGCACCGGAGGTGCTCCTTCACCAGAAAATGCGCCTCCCTCGTGAAGGAGCAACGGGCGAGGTTCTACATCATGCGGCGCTGCGTCACCATGCTCATCTGCTGGCGCGATTACACCGATTCCTGATGAAGATCCACACACAGAGAGAGACAGAAAAATTGAAAAAAAAAAACACAAAACAAAAAAGCCCCCAATTTCTCTTTCTTTCTATGTGATGGAGATTCGTCAAATTCCAGCGTCCGAGAAGGGAAGAGAAAGAGCAAATCTCCACCGATCGAGCTTTGTATATATATCATATAGAGATTCTAATCATTGTTATTATTATTTTTAAATACCATTAGTTGGTTCTTCCATTTTTTGTTTTGTTTTTGAGTTTTATTAGTTCCGGTTCCAGAGTTATGTTGCAGAGGAAGCAAAAAATTGATTAAATTAATTAATTAATGAAGATGAAGAAGAAGAAGAAAGATGAGAGTTTAGTTGTATATATAAATTATATATATAAAAATTAACTTTTGGTTTGATTTGATTTGATTCTCAGTCTTGTCTTCTCCACCCTCTTCTCTCTCTCGACTACTTGCTCTTCTTTAATTTAATGGGCCAATTTATGAAGAACAAAAAATGAAGATCTTTCTCTCTTTGAAAATTAACACAAAACTAAAAGAAATGTTATTTTGAACTGAGAATAAAGTCGGAATAAAATCAAATCACTTCCTTTTTGTAAGAAATGATGAGCAAATAACAAAGTTGAAAGTAAAAATTCTGTCCGGAGTAAATAAAAAAGGAGTAATTTTTAATTGGATTCTGATCTGATTAAAAGTGGGTGAGAGAAATGAGGTCCGTTGGTCAATTAGATCACGTGGAATGGAGCTCATCCCATCTCCCAATAGGGCTGTTTCTGTTCTTGATTTTCTTTTCTTTTCTTTTTTTTTTAGAGCAAAGAAGAACCTTTTAATTTTTCACCTTTTAACCCATTCTTTTTCTTACTTTTTCACCATTTATTGCCAAGTCCGTATTCCTTTGTAGTTTGTACTATTTAGAGCATCTCATTCTCATCTGATATTTAGTGCTCATTTGGACTCAACATGGGACAATAATGATATAGGGATCATGCATATATGGTGTAAATCACAAGTGTACACTATTAGGGAGTAATGGAGGATTGTGCCACCCAATTTGTAAGGGAACATTGTACTATTTAACAATAGAACTCACTCATAAACAAATATTACCATGACTAATAAGATTATTATTGTCTAATATTTCCTTAAGTTGGGTGTGACGAAAGCAAGATGAAGCTTAGACATTAACTGGGAATAAGAAACTCTAAGAGAAGGGAATTTTGACGTGTGTGCATTGGTACCAGCTTATGTCGAAGAAGAAGAGAAGGTTATCGGAGGTGATTGAAGATCTCAAATTCTTTTTCTTTTCTTCGACAAGGCCTTGTTTATTTTCTGAATTGTGAGAATAATATTGTATGACTCTTTTTGGAGGGGTGAGTGGTTAAAGTATGCATTCATCTTCCTCTGCTTTCCTCTTGTTTTCACTTTTGTTTTGATTTGTTTCACATTTTTTATTGGTTCTACAAAATAGAAAGAAAATGAGTGATTGTTTATAATGAGTGATTGGAGAAAGACATATTCTGATATGGTATAATAGGAAATGTGGAGAGGCCTAATGGGATTTAGGGGTATAATAGGAAAGTCAAGATAATTTTTATCACACATTAATAAGCGTGCCCGATCAAATTGGAAAATTTATTTATGGACGTAGAGAGTATTATTTTAAGAAAAGAAGACAACGATCAACACGGGTATGACTGTGATCCAGCGGGCGACTAATGTCGGGCCCGCTTGCCGAGAAAAAAATAAAGAACTTTAAATTACTAATAGTCTATTCTTTAGAAAGTTTATTCTAGTTATTATAGTTTCTTCCAGCTTCTTGTAGTTTTTTCCAATTTCTTCTACCCTCTTTTCATTTTTCTACCTTTTTGAACTATTCAGATTTTATTCAATCTTTTTCTACTTTCCAAATGATGACTCTAAAAATGATGTGTCTTTCATTTACTATTATTATTACTATTATTATTATTTTTACTATTCTTATTCTAATTATTATTATTATTACTATTAATATTAATTCATTCATAACTATAGTTTATTTTGCAGTTTTTCATTTTTTATATTTTCCCATGTCACTTTTTTTGTAATCCACATTAATTATTTTTTTAGTTTAATATAAATAATAAGAAGTAAAGTTTTATTGTGAAAAATTGATTTTTTATTAATTTATATCACACTAAACGATATTTTAAAAATTAAGAAATTTTGTTAGTATGATTTGACCTGGGAAAACATCAATATTTTAAATTTAAAAATAATAATTATATTACTTTCTTTGTCCCTAATTAAATTGCATGTACAATATTCATGTAGTCGAATTTTATTGAATTTCTTTACCTTTTATATATGACTGTTATAATAATAGTAATAATGATAATGATAATAATAATATTAATAACAACAATAAAAATTATGCAATGTTTGTAACAATTCAATAAGAATAATATGTAAAATACATTTAAGTTACTTTTTGAAGTTTCTTCTAGTTTTTTCTAGTTTCTTTTCCTGATGGTGCAAATATAGTTGGGTGGGTTGACCGGGTTTGACCTGGACACACTCGACCCGTAAATAAAATACACACAACAAGAACACAAAGTATGACCTAGACCGGGTAAATCTCCTCAGTCCGAATTATATTTCTTACTCTATCTCAAAAGTGAACTTTAGTAAGAGAAAAATTGGATCCTCTCCTCTATCGAGGAGGATTTGTGACCTTCCCCTGTTCATCTATGAACAAAATAGGAAGCTCGTGGGAAGGTCACTGTAGTTAATGGAACAGTGTAGATTTCAATAGCTACAAGCCAAGACACTGTTCAATCAAAGACTATAAATGAATATTTTCAATCCAATCAACCCTGCGAGATGACAAACATCTCTTTCACTGTATGCCTCGTGATGGATGAGCGGCGGGGTGTTCCCTCGGTCTTTGACGTGGTTCGCCATGCCTAAGAGATTGGACCAATGTTAGCCAAGTAACGTGTCATGACCGGTCACCTTTTCTCAAGGGTTACCCGGTCATTTCTTGAGCTCAACCCGTCTCTTCGGTCTTCCAGAATATCCTTCATAACATTAGGCGACGATTTGGCTATCGCCCAAAATGTGACCGGTCACTTTTTGAGGGAAGTGAGCGGTCAATTTTTGACCCGTCCCAATTGAAGAGTTGTCCTCATTTGGTGATCGAAGAAAAAGTGATCGGTCATGTTTTGACCTGTCCCTTTCGGTTATCCGGGCCGGGTATAAGGATATACCCATCACTTCCAATATTTTTAAATTTTTCTAGTTTCTTCTAACTTTTTTAAATTTTTCTAGTTTTTTTACCATTTTTTTCCAGTTCTAAAGAACAGGCCTTAAGAGCGGTGCCTTCAATGGCATGTTGGAATAAAAGAAATCAACTAAATATGAGTAAAACATACTCCCTCCATTCTTTAAAATACTTTCTCTTTCATTTTTTCCACTTCCAACAAAACACTTTTCTTTTCTATTAAAAAACCACTTTTACCCTTACCTTTTTCATACCCTACCTATCACATCATACTTTTTCTCTAATAATATATCCATCACATCTTACTTTTACCCATCACATCAGGGGCAAAATTGGAAATCAACTATAATTTAACACTTCCTTATTTTTGCCCCAAATCAAAATGGAAAGTCTTTTTGCAAACGGAGGGAGTTGCATTCATTCTCAAAATATAAATTGGACATTTTTATCTCCAAAATATGAGTTTGTTCTATGACATTGTATCATGACATTCTACCATATTTTTTGGTAGTATATATTGGGTTGGTTGAGCGTTAAGGTACAACTACATCACCCAAAAGAAAACATGCCTACAAATTAAACAATTCTAAGACTTGTACTTAATGTTGTAGTAGTATATTAAAATTTGATGTCAAAAAACCTTAACGATATACAGATAAATTATTTATATGTAAATGAGGTCCATACTTATTCTTGGAATCTTAGTACATAGTCACCATAAAACAATTTTAAAAAACAGAAAAAATTTATAATATTCATGTCACCTAAATCCATAAAAAAATGGAAAAAGTAAAGAATATTAACATTTTATATGTAAACATAAAACAATGGAAGCACACTTCATCTTTCACGTCAATGAAATTATAAAATTAGTCTCTCAAGTGGATCATTAATATAATGTTGCCACCTCATGGGGGTAATTTATTATCGGAATAGATTTGCAGATTACGTTAAACCCTTTAATTTAGTCAACCTAAATGATGAATACCACGAGAGAAAGAACAGTTCAAATTTGACCATCTAACTAAAGTTGTGTTTTCTACTGACTTGTGGGGTTATTGGTCTCCCCTAATTACTATTGTGGGTCAGTTTATTCTTTTCGTTTTTTACGAAACTAACTTCCGTCTCAGTATATTTGTTCAATTTGATTTTTTTGAGTTATTTGGATAAATTTTAAACTACAATCACTCTTAATTTATATTGCATATTAGTATAATAAAATATAATTTTAAAAGTTCTCAATACGATAAATCTAATAAAAGTTAAAATACATTACAGTTTTTATTTAATTGAAGCTCAATGTTTGTCTAGTTTGACTCGAAAAAGTCAAACTGGACAAATACACTGGGACGGAAGGAGTAATTTTTTTTTAAACTTTTCTGTACTATCGAGTATTTCTTTTCAAATTAATCATTTTATATTTTATTCAATTTATTTCCAATTCAAAATAAGAACATTTCTTCTTTAAGTAGTATTTCAATCGAGTGATCTAAGACTTCGTTTGGGATAGATAATTCAAGTCGTCGAATTGGAATTATACCTTTCCCAATAATTTTTTACATAATCGCATAAAGACCAATCTTTGAAGCATTCCTGCTTTAATTTATCTTTATCTTCTCTTCCTGTGTGTGTGTGTGTATATTATATATATATATATATATATATATATATATATATATATATATATATATATATATATATATATATATATATATATATATGCTATATCACACCATAACTCTTTCACACACATATATATCCATCCCATTATTCTTCTTAAAGCAAACAACATTGGAAACTCATTTACTTATTACCTTTCAAATGCCACCATCTAGTCCTTGGGTCCTTCTCTTGCCGACTTCTCTTTACCTTTCGTAGGATACGAAAATATATACCGATCACTTTATGTTTGGTGGTCAAACTTTCTCCGGACATAATTTTGTAATTAGTACTCCCTCCGTCCGATGAAACATGGGACTTTTGCTTTTTAGGAGGGATTTAAGGAGAGTATATTTTGGTATTGAATTTCCAAAAATGTCCTTTGATGTGATGGGTAAAAATATGATTTGATGGATAGATTATTAGTAAAAAGGTATGATGTGATAGTTAGAGTATGAAAAAGTAAGTGGTAAAGGTGACTTTTTAATAGAAATGAGAAATGTTTTGTGGGACAGATAAAAAAAGAAAGAAGAAAGATTTCATGGGACGGAGGGAGTATAATTTTTTTTTTATCTTATTTTTCTTAGCATAAAGAAATCAATTTGAGAGCATGTCTCTCGCTCTTATAATATGGTGATAAATACAATATAGAAACTAAAATACGACATATGGAAATCAACAACAACAACAACAACAATAATAATAAATCCCCTCAGCCAGTCAAATATCATAAAAAACAAGTTTTTTTAAGATAGAGAAAATTATTCCTTTGTGTATGAATAAACTTGCATAGTTTCCCATTTCATTGATTGATATATGCATATGTTTATGAATAATGTCTCTAACTTTGTGTTTCTATATACACTTGTGATCACTCCCTCTATCCCTTTAAACATGAGATGTTTTGATTTTGAATATATTGAAGGGGAGTGTATCTTGGTATTGAATTTTCAAAAATGTCCTTTGATGTGATGGGTAAAAGTAACATTTGATAGGTAGATTATTAGTAAAAAAGTATGATGTGATAGATAGGGTATGAAAAAATAAGAAGTAAAAGTGACTTTTTAATATAAATAGGAAGTGTTTTTTGGGACGAATGAAAAAAGAAAAGAGAAAATTTTCCAGGAACAGAGGGAGTATGTATTAAACTTGAACATTTTCAGACTCACCTATCCAATTTTTCGTAATAAAGGATAGCGACTCTAGGAAAGAATATTGTTGCGGGCACAATAGCAAGGGGTGTATCGCACAGACATTTGTTTTTTGTGTGTTTTCGTGATACACTTGATCTACAAATGGTATTATATCTTAGTGTTAGTTAGGAGAAACAACATATTGCACATTTGCACCCATCCAGAAGCCTTTGACTCGGTATGATATACTCCATCCGTCCCAAAAAGTATTTCATGTTTCATTTTTTGCGCGTGCCATAAAACACTTATATCCCGCTTTGAATGTCAAAAAACTTTCAATATAAGTTCTACCCACAATAAAGAAGAAATGTTATAAATTTTAGGCATTTTAGATGTCGGTAGAAGTATTTTATAGGATGCACAAAAAATGAAATAGGAAAGACTTTTTGGAACGGAAGAGTTGAAGAATGGGTCAACTCTTTGAAAGTCTTACCTTAATTATATGCATGTATTTGGCCATGTTGAGCTTGATCGAGTTTGGCCGGGGCAAAATGGACTGGTTAATAAAGAATTTTATGTCACATCCATTTGGGCTGCCATAACCTTGCTTAATGAATAATAATTAGAATACATCATTGAGATTAGAATTAATAAAGTGCAATTAAATTGTGTTTTGTGTTTGACGTGCTATTTATGAGCATTTTTTGTTGTGGTTTTAAAAGCTCTATTTAATTGCTAGATATACAACATTTTTTTGAAGGGCTCAACCAAAATAAGTTAATTTGTATTTTGTGTATGTTTGGTTAACAAATAAGTTATGAGTTTTGATATCCCCAGTTATTAATTATTTTTGGGTATTTTTGTAAAACGAAAAAAGATATCAAATTTAATATTTCCAAATATCATAAATCATTTAAATGGAGAATTTCGATATCTCCTAAATTTGAGATATCTTTCTCAACCAATGATCATTCTCCGTTACCGGCAACCATTGTCACTGACACGCACCCCGTTGCCGGTCACCCTCGTTTTTTACTAATTCAATCATAATTTTAAATCTATCCAAACAAATTCATTTCAAATTTCAAAACTCATATCACTTTTTCGGAATTTCAAAACTCGTGTCTTATCATATCTCAAAACTCACCAAACAGATTCTTAATCCTTTTTCTGATTTACTTAAATACAAATATAAAGTTGGAAAAAAATGACACCCAAGTCCAAAATCCAAATAAATATGGACATAAATCAAAAGGATTAAATGAAAACGTGTCCCTCTCATCTATAAGCTAATAAAAACTCAAGAGTTACGATTTACACAGGGACCGGACCCAAAATGCTTGAGCTTATTGGAATATTATTATTCCATCAAAAAACCAAATTAAATATTTTATATTCAAATTAAATCAAGTCTTTTCATGTATTATTTTCTAATAATTAAATCTTTGTGGCCTATGTATAAAATGAGTACGTTGAGGAGTCACATGTTAATCAATTATCGTGACAGCACCGACCGTGTGTGCCCTTAATAACCTCACAAAAAATAATAAATATAATAAAACAATAATTTAAAATAATAAATACTCCATAAATAATTAATATCGTATCTCCATCAATTAAGCCGTCGCATATATTATATCCTTCCATTAAAAGTTTTCATTTTTCTCTTTGGAACGTTTTAAAACAAAACTCTATTCATTTTTTTTTACAAAAAAATTGTTAAAAGATAATATTAATTAGTCAATGTTATAGATTTAATATTGATGTTAATAAACTTATTATTGTTAGACTCGTAATTAGGCCAGTATTATAGCTATTTTTAAGATTTTATATATTTTGTAAAAAAATAAATGAGACTTTAAATTTTGGAGGGAGGATGGTATAGAAATGACACACACAGTCCATGTTCACATGCCGCCTCTTGTGTGGCCAATTGGCTACACTACTAATATAATATTTAATCTTTAATACTCCGTATAATATATAATTCTTAATAATTATTGTTCTTCCCGCATTTAATTAATATTGAATTTTGTTAGTTGTACCCAGATAAATTTTATATTTCAATTTTTCCCTTTAAAGAATGAAATATGTGATTCACTATTTTTTTTCTTGTACGAAAACATTTTAATTATGCATTTTTTTACTTTAAAATAATCTGTATTCTTCTAAAATTTCGAAAAAAATCAAACACTGAAATGTAATTCAGACAAGGATGGAATTTTTTTTGTAGATATATTATGAATAATTAATTAGGTGATGGAGATTGGACTTGGATGTCACATTCACCTGATTTTTATAACCTTCATAAATGGGTTGGTATCGTCATGATGGCCCACAGTATTGGCCCGTTTTAGTAGTTTTGTGGGCTACATGAACAGTATTAATTGCAGAGTATAAATCTAGACTAGCTTGTTAGTAATTTATCCATTCACATGCCTATTCAAATTAGAATAAAGCTATTTTGTACCCCGTTCACCAATATTTTGTGTTGGTGTAATGCTAGTTTTTATTAACGCGACGATACTTTGAATCAGTGTAAATTTTTGTTAACAAACCAACACTTTGTATTAGTATGAACCATCAAAATATTAATGTGTACTTTTGGTGTAAATTTAGAGTACAAATCTTGGTGTAAATGTAGCATAGTCCTCAAATGTATCTTAAACGTTAATACTTACATTTTATAATACTTACAGGATTTTATAGTGACATTTTGCATCAATGTAAGTCATGAATCTCGCACTAGAAATGGTCTTAAAGTACTGGGACTTCAAACTTTCACTCTTTACCACATCAGCTTTAACTTCCCTCACCATTTCACTGGAAATATGTTTGAAGCTCCCAAGGCATCAAACTTTCATATTTTATATTTTAAATACACATCTTTTAAAATTAAACTAATAAACACCCTGATTTTTAACGCTGTTATAATGGGAAAGGGTGGCGGAGTTTAACGCCCCCCACGCGTCAAAATGAGCATAATGCTACTGGGCGTTAGTGGTATTACCACTGCCGTTACGTTGACATTATTTTCATTGTTTTTTCATGGTGTGCTTATATGATGTGACACAAGCGATCATGACGATCTCTGCTTTATACAGTATACTCTTTTTTTCTTTAAAAAATTTTACAATTATTATGCTCTACGTTTTTGATTAATGACATCATTTGAATAAGTGTTGTCGTTTAATAATATTTTCAAATTGTTAACCCTAAACGCTAAAATATACATATACTTTGTATTTTATAGCAATGTCAAGGGCATCACATTTCAAATAAGGATATCCTTTTTGTACACCATGTCTTCATAGATACACACAAACACATAATATATGTGTTTTGATTGTATTTGTGAAAGTTTGGTGTAGAAATTAAATATCCCATTTTAATTAATTGTGTATTTTACCCCTCGAAAAAAATGAAAGAAAAAAAAAAGTTACAGGAAGAAGCAAGAACCAGTGATTCAAGAATTAATTCGCGGCTAATGGCCGCCGAATTTAGGCTCCCTCTAGCCGCCGGAGTTTACCGAATTGCCCTTTACTTTCGCGACTTCCCCCCCTTCCCATCTCTCATCTCTCGCTCGCGGGCTGCCCATTGACGACTCTCTTCTAGCTACATTCAGGTGATTGAATTCTCCTTCGTTCCCTTAAACCCTAACTGTAGATTGTTTTATTTGTTTTTATAAATCCAATTGATTCTTCGTGCGTCTGAATCTATGGAATTCGCTGCTTTTTTCCAGTTTTAAAGTGTGTTTGTTTTCAATTATACTATCCACATGTATATACTGATGTATGGCAAGGTTAATGATCGTTTAGTTTTATATTACGGAGTAGTTTTTTCAGATCATAAAATCTGAATAGGAGTTTCAGTGGATCGAAATAGGAGACTTTAGGGCACAAACTTGTTAAGAAATGATTTGCAAGTTGAGTTTGGAGCATTCCAGAAATTGGGAGATCCAACTACAAGAAAACTGGGAGTCTGATCTCTCATTTATCATATTAATTTTCGTTTCATTTTACGAACTCCCAATCTGATAAAAATTCTACATCTTTGAAATACAAGGCATTTTTTTGAGGTCCAAAAAATACAAAATCTATATTGCTTTTTGAACAAGAATAGTTATGTGGTAGTTTGTATTCATTAAATTTAATAAAAAGTGCGTGGTAGTTATCAATGCGCCGTGGGGGACATCTCCTGGTTCCTTCCTCAAGACAAATATGTTTAGATGTTTGGAACATCTTAAAGTATTAGGAGACTCACACATGAATTGATCATAAGTGTTGGTGAAAATATCATGAATCTAAGTTCGAACAACTTCAAAAAACGTATGCTAACACTTTAAAATGTTAAGACAGTCGCATATGTGATCTTCTTCCTTTCCTCCGTGTGCTAAGACTTATTCACTTTGTATCTAGTTTTGGAGGCAAATGTAGATGTGAAAAACCCATATTGTGTTGTTATTGGACTTTCTTTTCTTAGTATGACATCCCTTTTCATCCAAAAAGGGTGCCATATTGATTTTAAAAACTGCAACGATCTTTTATTCAAGGTACAATTTGATATTATTCTTATTTTAAATTCCATGTGTATACATAATGTAAATGCATAACATTTCTTCTACATTCATAACCAAAATCAAGATTTTTGTTCTTTTCATAACAAAAGTTAAGAGTTTAAAAAAAATTATGGAGTATTTTGTTGAGCTTTGTGTCATTTCTTGATTTACTCTTTCAATGGCCTAAATGTTCTAAGTCTTGAAGCCGTTTACTCCCCTCCAAGTGTTTTTTACTGTTTCTTAATGGAACAACTCCAAAAATGTGTGAATATTGTTAGAGGAGTAATGGGCTTTGAGATTTAGGGGGGGGTATTCAATCAAGAATCTGCAGGATTTTTTTGGATTTTAAAAGTTAGTGAGTATTAAATTGAGATTTTAAAAAGTCAATTAAAATCTTAGAGTATTCAATTTAGATTTTAAAAAATCATTTAAAATCTGAAAGTATTCAATTTAGATTTTAAAATGTCTCTTAAAATCTAATGGTATTACATAATCTATAGATTTTAAAAGATTTTTATTATGTTTGGATTTTGAGGTTATTTTTCTAAAGAAAATTCATTTCACAAATCTATGACAACATCTAAAGATTTCAACGGATTTGTTCGTAAGCATGGAATAGCTGCTGGAGTTTGGGGATCTAGATTTGCGCAAACATTAAAATAAGCCGGCCGATTTGCGATCGACGGTGGACGGAAAGAGTAAGAAACGGGACTAGAAACACAGGGGGATGAAGGACATAGGCGGCAAGGACATTGGACGGGGATGAAGACGGGGAAGAAGAAGAAGGGGAAATTGACGAGAGAGGAGAAAGAAGAAGAAGAAGGAAGGAAGGAGGAGGGAGAAAGAGGAGAAAGAAAAAGAGAGAAAGAAGGAAAATGAGGAGGAATGGAGGATTGGAGGAGAGAAAAGGAAGATGGAAGAGGAGAAAGAAAAAAAAGGAGCAAGGAGAAGAAGAAGAGACGCAGGAGAGAAGAGAAAGAAAAGGAAGGGCCTAGAAATAGAGAAAGAAAGAAGAATAAAAAAAGTAATCATGGATAATAAACAATCATACAAAATTCTTTTGAAAAATACATTAAATTCAATCGAACTCTACATAGACTTAAAAAATTCTTTGATTTTATATAATCTATGGATTTTAAACAATTTGCCAAAATCTTTTAAAATTCGAATTGAATACACCCCCCTTAGAACATTTAGATCTAGAAGAAAAAACCATTGAAATGAAAAAAAATGAGAAAGGACTCAAATGCTTAAGCAACTTAACAAAAGTTTTTTTTAAGTTCTTAACCTTTGTTATCAAAGGATTGAAACTCTTAACTTTTGTTATCAATGTATACAAAAAGTTATACATTGATATTATATATACTTATCAAATTGAAAGTATGAATGAGATCAAATTGCATCTTATTTCACCTTGAATAAATTATCAATGCACCTTTTGAACAATATTGTATCCCTTTTGAATGAAAAATGGGCAGTCATACTAAAAAAAAGAGTTCAACAGCAGAGTTTGGACTTTGCACATCTTCATCTGCGTATTAGACTAATTACAAAGTGGGTGGGTCATAGCACACCAAGAAAAGGCTGCAGATCACTCTATTTAAGAACGAGGCTTAATGTTTAACTTTAGCATACATTTTGAAATTGTTTCACTTCAGGTTCAATATGTTTCCACCAAGTTACTAACACTTGTGATCCTTTCATATTTGACTCTCTTAACATTTAACCCATTCTAACATCTAGACATCACTATATTGAGGAAGGAACTGGAGGATGTCCACTCTTGTGATACTGATAATATTTTTTTAAATTAAATTTAATGGACACAAACCACAAGATTATGCTTGTTGTCCGAAAAATGACATATACTCCGTATTTTGTTAATTTTTGTTCTGAGTAACATTTGGCATATACGGAGCATTTTGTTAGGTTATAGTATCTTATTAAATCTGTGTTCCCTAACACAAAAAACAAACCCTTCAATTATTTTGAAATTTTGTTTGAAGTCTGGAATCTTAAATATGGAGTTCTAATTTCTAAATCTCATGTCTTGAAGAATTAAGTTATGAAGAACACAACCATTTTAGGGTTTTTGGGATTTTAAGCACGTAAGACCAAAAAATATCAAGAACATGATAAATACACACACGAAGAAAATTTGAGAAAATTGTGTATTTCTTTTGTTTCAAGACAATATGCAATAAAATCTCTCTATGTTTACAAGCATTATAACCAATAGTCGTCAAAAGATCGTCTCTACACCTTGTACCCTGTTCACCCACACTAAAAAATATCCCTTTGGTGTTTGTGTGTCGTCTCATGTGTTTCCATATATTAGAGATTTAGAGAAACAACAACTTCCTTTCTTTGCTTACTCTCTTTATCAACATCATTCTTGGTTTATGGTATACTCAAGAGTACAAGACTCTTAATAGTCATTTGATAAGCCATGCTACATATGCCTACTGCCAAAAGCTATTGTCTATTGGCTCTTTTTTTTTGTTTGCATAATTTTATTTGATTATTTAATCATATAAACAACATGCCCAAAAAAACATATAACCAACAGACTTTGTTACATGTTTAACTCTATATGATTATGATATAAAGAAAATGAATAGAATTTTGTTCAATGCTATATACATATATAATAAATCACAAAAGTCAATAAATTTCCCACATTCATTCTTCTTTTTTATCCTCTTTCCACTCTTCCTTCAGTCTGGTTGTGTCACTGACCCCACCCCCTTTAAACATTGATTGTTAACATGATCACTGGACTTGTCATGATCTAAGAATCTCTACCCACATTGATTATTCACGTGATTCAGTAAATTAAAATGCCAAATGATTTAATTAAACCAATAAAGTGGAGTAAAACTAATATGCCAAAACCACCATAGGCTACTCAAACTTAGATTGCTGGGAGAATGCCAGTAGGAAGGTCACACTTACTTTTTTTTCTTTGTTTGGAGACAGTATTTTAGGTGTCTTTCTTAAAAAGAAATATCTTGTTCATGATTTTAATAGATGCTCTGTGATTATCAGTAATCCACATGTGGTTTGCTTTGTTCTCTTACAAACATTTTATTAAAGTGTTGTTCATTTTGTATTGAAGAGTGTATTTTGCCAATTACAAACCTCTCTAAGGCCTACTTTTGAGAAAAATTGTTAGATAAAATATCAAATTTATCTGTCATATATTCCGCATCATATTAACGATAATACTCTGTATTATTACTACTATTACATTTACTATAGTTGTTGCTTATTTGATGTTGTTGTCATTATTTTATGGTGATTGTTAGTCTCACTCCACCCGATCTCTTTATTCACTTCCTCACCATCAAATTTCTTTATTCTCTCCACCACCAATTTTCAATTTAATTTTTCAATGTTCACATTAATTTTTTAACAAAAATGTACAACTAAATAAATATGTAAATTAATAATTTAACTAATAATTACAAAACAATTAAAAGGAATGGGAAATTCAGTAATCACTATTTTATAATTGCCAATTTTTTAAAATTGATTATATTAGTACGGTATAATTAGAATTATTCGATACAGATGTGATATTATTATTTCTTTTACTATTACGTAATAAACATACTCTCATAATTCATGAAATAAGTTTAATTGAAACATTTTTTCCTGACCCCCCCTCAAAACCCGACGGAATTGAGAATATACCCGGTTGTTGTCGTTGTTGTATTTCATAACAAACGTATTTCCATAATTGAAATACCAAGTAAAACTTTTCATAGATAAAACAAGGACTAATTTTTTCTAACCGTTCACCCTGTTTGTTTAAGCTTAGCTAAGTACGTTCACATATTCACAGAGAAATTTTAGTGAAAAGTAGCCATCAAGTGTTTGATGCTGAATCTTCTAGGTTTCTTGCCCTTTTCCCTTTTTATGCATGAATTAGCATGAACCACATACAAAAGTTGGGGTATGAGCCTCATGCAGCAAAATTAGGAAGTTCTTATAAATTTCTGATGTGGGATACTTTAACACTATTTATGTAAGTGTAGGTTGCTGAAGGTTTAAGAATCATGGCTGTGAGTGTTGATTTAACTGGAGATGGAGGTGTTCTGAAAAAAATTCTCCGGCAAGCAAAACCTGATGCTATTGGTCCATCAGAGGATCTTCCTCTTCTTGATGGTATGTTTAACATATAAAAAAAATACATCCATGCATGTTGATGGTATTTAAATTATTTGCAGCATCTTATTAATTTATTGCTTATGTGAGAAGGTCTATGGTGCATTAAGATTTTTTCCTTCAATCATGGTTACACCGTTACCCAGCACAACCACATGTCCACTTTCTTTATGCAACAACAATAATTCCTTTGGTGGATATGCTCCAAAAAGGGTTTGTATTAAAAAGTGTTTTATTGAAGTTGATTTGCTTTACTTTGTGTCCATCATCCACTTTTTGAAGTGTTTTTTGACCAAGCTATCGCTTCTTGAAAAAAAGATATATATTTTCTGTCTTAGCTCAATTCAAAGGACTCCTTTATCTTTCTGTTGTTGGCCCCCAACCTATGGTTTATTCAGGTACATATACCTTTGAATAAGCTTGTGACTTAAAGTACCACTAAATTATTCAACTGAAGTAGACTAGTTGCAAAGTAGTGCAATGATAAACGGTCTTCCTAGTGCTTAAAAGTGGACACCGTGAAAGGTGATTTCATAATAATTGTTTTCCTGCTGAATTAGAGACCAAGATGCTGGTTTACAAAACCATGTCCTGGATAGCCAAAAGTTATTAGTTTCCAATAAGGCACCAAACCGAATTATGATTTCTTTGGCAACGGGTTCAACTAGAGTTTTTTCTCCCCATTATAGTGCCTATGTCAATTACTTAAATAGATATTTCTAATTAACACACTTTTAATCTAACCCCATGAAAGGTATAAAAAGTTTTATCATTTCAGATTCAAGAAATACAGTTTTACAGAATATATCTCAATAAAAGCATCAAATAATTGCTTTTGAAACGTGACAAAAGTGGGTTTTCTTGTTTCAAGAGTCCCAAACAGGTATCCACACAATATTCTTGTACATACTTATTAACACCCTCTCCCCCGGTGTAAAAAACAGTGCATTATGAAGGGAGTCTTTCCGAGACCGGTGAAGTATTTGATACGACACGCGAGGACAATACGGTTTTCACATTCGAGGTAGGCATGGGATCAGTCATCAAGGCCTGGGATATTGCACTCAGAACTATGAAGGTCCGCAACTGAATGAAACTAACTGCTTTCATATTATGTCTCTCTAGATTATTTCTCTAACGAGGGTACACTTGTTGTTTGACTCTTGTTACGTTTGCCTTCATTGCCGTTCAGGTTGGTGAGGTGGCCCAAATCACCTGCAAACCAGAATATGCTTATGGTAGTGCTGGGTCTCCCCCAGATATTCCCCCTGAGTAAATCCTCTAAAGCTCTAACTACTGCTACTAATCCCCCTTAGTCTTATGTTGTGTCCGCAATGCTCACCAGTAGACAGTTGACTACTGATTAATTTTTTTAGGGCAACTCTTGTATTTGAGCTGGAACTGGCTGCTTGTAAACCAAGGAAAGGCGCAAGCTTGGGCAGCGTATCGGACGAAAGGACAAGACTTGAGTAAGTCTGTCTACTTTTTTTTTCTCCCCACTTTTTGAATACTTGTGTTGTTTGTAACTCTGTTTTGAATTGGGTGTATGCAGGGGCAATTAAGGGTAAGGAAGTGTTGAAAAGTGAAAAAAACGCGTGGTTGAAATTTACTCCCATTTATCTAAAAATCAACAACTTGACTTCTCGGAATTCAAGAAAAGGGTTGAAAAATGAAGAAAAAAAACATGGTTGAAATTTATTTAAAAGATTAAGAAATGTCGTGAACGAGATATTCCTTTTCTTAATAGGAAAGTAAGGAATTTCAAAAGTTGATTTGGGACTTCCCAAAAAGAGAAGTGTTACTTCTATTCTTGGGTGGAGGGAGTATAAAATAAGGGTATGATTATCATTTTACTCCTTTAATCTTGTGAACTCTCTTGTTATTCCAAATAAAGGTTCTCTCATAAAAAAAACCCAACTTCACTTAACACTTACTCTTTACTCTTCAAATTCAGTTTCTGTCGAAACGGACCGCCCTAACGGGTTCACATTCAATATAACTGAGTCACAAATGGTACAATGTGTGCACGCAGGGAGCTAAAGAAACAGAGGGAAGCGGCAGCGGCGAACAAAGAGGAAGAGAAGAAGAAGAGAGAGGAAGCCAAGGCGGCTGCCGCCGCCCGTATCCAAGCAAAGCTGGAGGCAAAGAAAGGTCACCATCAAGGCAAAGGAAAAGGTAAATCAAAGTAGGTAGCAGCCTATGGTGTAAAAAGAACTCATAACCATATGTTCTTCCTAAGTTGGTTGTCACAATGGACCAGATATTTGTGTTTTTTCTTATGTTTAGGTCATTTTTACTCCTCTGTTCCCGCAAAAAAATTTATTCTTCTCTTTTTCTTTTGTTTTATAAAAACTTCATTTTCCTTTTTAAAGAAAAGAATATGGGTTTTAGAAAATTTCTTTCTGAAAAAAATCTCTTGTTTTTAGAAAAATATTCAGAAAGTGCTTGGTAGAGCACCTAGGTGGTTTATGAATTATGCTCACTAGGTGCATGTTCTTTTTTGTTGGAATTTTACGGATGGATATTTGAAGAAATTAGAAAGAATTGAAATAAACTGGAAAGAGCTGGGATATGTTGGAAAAGTAAAGTATTACTCCCTCCGTCCCAAATTATAATACCTGTTTATTATTCACAGGATCAAACTTCATTCACTTTCTTTCTCTATTTTCGTTAGCAATTTGATAAAATAAAATATTATTGTCACTACTAGTTTTGTAGATCTTTTGATGTAGTTTTTTAATATGTTATTTTTATTTTTTTAATTCTATACCATTTGTCATATAAAATGGTTTGAAAATAATTTCAGTCAAACATCGTAAACCGAAACAGGCATTATAAATTGGGACGGAGGTTGTAAAAAATTACTCAATTAAATGATCATTCAAATAAATATGTAAAAATATTAATTATGGATTTTAAAGAATTACTTTTATACGTGTTTGAGGTGATATCTCTGTATAAATTTGGATATACGGAGTATGACATTATTGTATATAATCATATGTAAATACGGAGTAGTATTTTTAAGGTTTTAAAAGAAACTGAAAAAAGTTATAAAAAAATGGGAGCAAGTTAGAAAAATTGGAAAGAGTTGGAAAAAATTGGATGTTAAATACTCTCTTCGTCCCCAATTTGATTACAAATTGAGGTTTACGGTGTGAAATATTTCATTTTTTGAAATTATTTTATTTATAAATCAGTATATCGATAAGAATAAAGAATTATGTCAAAAGTTTTACAAAACAAGAGGTGACAATAATATATTTTATTTTATCAAATATTTAATGAAATTGTGTAAACAAACAAAAGTTATTGAGAAGAGAGAGAAAAAATTTGTAATCAAATTGGGATGGAATGACTATTCTCTATGAGAAAGATAAAGTGTGTTATGCAAAATTTCACTTAAATATTTTTCATTTTTTGGTTTTCAATGCTTGTTAAATTTTGTGAAAATCAAATCACGAAATTATTTATGAGAAAGATAAAGTCTGTTATGCAAAAAAAATTGTGTTATGCTCGCTAAATAACAAGGCTCATTGTCATAATCATAATAATACATGCTCACTGTGTTAGTGTCATTAGTACTAATAATAGCCACTTGTTTTTCCTATTAATGCTAGGTTTAGTGAGCTGAACACTGAAAAGCTTGCACACCTTTCCTTTCAAGCTAATTATATTCAAATATAATTAGTGCCCCATAATTCTAAATTTCCTAATTTTGTTTCCTAATGCTCATTTTCTTCTTTCTTGTTATCAAGTTATTGTTGCTTTGCTATTTGGAAGGTTCCGGCAATCTAGTTTAAGTTCATTATAGTGATATTTATACTGATTATTTTTTTCTATTTCTTTGCTAAACGATCAGTATATCACATACTCTGTAATAAGGTACAGAGTATTTTATACGTACTTTGGTTCGATCAATTAATTTTATGCTTGTTTTTTTGTCCACATTCTGATATGAATAAAAATTAATGTAATATTTTTAGAAATTGGTACTATGAGAACTTGAGATGGTTTCCAAGATTATGGTTGATTGATGGTCAATAAGGTTTTCATACTTCTTATTTTTCTTTAAACATATAATTACTAGTCTAGATTTGGTACTTAGGATTTGAAGCTACTAGAGTTGACTTTGAAAATGCATTTTTCAATTTTTGAGGGTGGAAAAAAATATATCTTGACCATCAACTTCAACATATGGAATGCAATCATCTTAGTATTCCATACTCATTCACTAACATGTTATGATCGCTATACTCCGATGAAAATTGGATCTCAAATTGAGCTAAAACGATAATTCGATTCATCTAAACTAAATACATCAAATTATAACTCTAAGAATGTAATACTAAAATCTTTCATATTCATTGACTAACATGTTATGATCAAGTGCTTGTGAGTCTATATTGAGAGGTTATAATGCTCATTGGAGGGGGAGAAAGGGGGGATTTGGGGTTGAATTTGGAGAATTTGCAAACAAACAAAAGGGAGATATGAGTGACAATAAAGAAAATAGAGATGGAAACATTGTACCAACTTGATGATGAGTATTTCCAAATGAGAAAATACAGTAGAAATGATGGGTACATTTGTCCACTTATTACCAACCAAAATCCCAATTCTTAGCATTCTGTGTCTGGTAATACAAACATTTTAGGAAAACAAACAATCACTCACTACCCTCTCTAAGATACCCACCCACCCAAAATGAGTGAAAACCAACAAATAGTCAGCCATATGTAATTAGAGCACTGAATTGAATAAACAATTTTGGCACAATCAAAAGAAAGCTTTTGCTTTAAGACCATACTTTATAGATGCCATAAAATAATACTCCCTCCGTCCCATTTTAGATTACAATATTTCCTTTTTGTTGAAATTAAGGAAGAGTCAAATCAAATTTTTTTCTCAAATTACCCCCAAATCCCCCAAGTATCCTTCCCACTCACATGGATGAATAGTGTGTGAATAGTGTAGGAGTGGGAGGGTAAAAGAGTCATTTCCTTCTAAAGTTATTGACTTTGTAATTCTTTTTAGGACAAAAATGTGAGGGAACATTGTAATCTATTTCGGGACGGAGGGAGTACTACTATGTCATACCATCCTAGTTTTTAAGAAAATTATAATTAGTGTGTTTTCCTGTAGATAGAATGGTCATATATATTTATTATCATTTCAATGAGTTTCACTTGTAAATCATAATTCTACCTCACATGTTACAACACGTTATCAGCATGCTCTGAAAATACCTATTTTAAAAAAATCATTTAGCTGGATCGACAATATATTTTCTTTTTTTGGATGTGTAAAGATCATATTTTTAGTTGTTCAATTTTCATTTTAGAAAATAAATATACAAACATCTTTTAATCCTCATCCCCCAAATTAATCTCAACAATAAATTTTGTTGGTAATATTAGTGTCATCAGCTATTTTATATAATTGGATTTACTTAGATTAGACAGGAATTTGAATAGGCATTGTAAAACAAGTTAGAGACATGCGTAGCATGTGTGTATGAGAGTATCGGAAATTCAGTGTTAATTCTTGTATTGACATCTTATCCAATTAAAGTATTTTGGCATATTCCAAAATAAATTTAATCGGAAAGTGTATTCTCATGCAATTCATTCAATCTATCAAGTTCATTATTTATGTTCGTAAACATTCTTCGTAACTTTAATTTTTTACTTTTTCATACTCCCTCCGTCCAAAAATTTCTTTCTCGATTTGACTTGACATCGAGATTAAGAAAAATTAAAAAATGTAAAGACTTTTCATGCATTTCCCTTGATGTAATAGAATAAAGTGAATAGTGTAGATAAAAGTGGGGGTATAATGACACATTCATTAAAAGTTTTTTTGCCAAAATAGGAAACGAGAAAGAAATTTTTGAACGATCCAAAAAAGAAAATGAGAAAGAAATTAATGGCCAGAGGGAGTGTTTTTTTAGAAAAAAATAAACTTTATAAAATCAAAATTATGTACTCCCTCCGTCCTAAAACTTTCTTCCCAGAGCACTATTCCAACTTTACGGGAATTTATATTTATTTGTGTTTTTTCATGGCCTATATGATAAAATAAAATATTTTTGTCACCACTTGTTTTGTTGAACTTTTGATGTAGTTCTTAAATATGTATGTTTTATTTTTTATTTCTATACCAATATTTAAATAAAATAGATTGAAAAAACTTGGGATTTTTCTTCGTTTTGCGCAACGAGAAGAAAGTTTTAGGAGGGAGCTAGGAGCTAACTTTGAGAAAGAGGAGCAGCTAGAAACATAGAACGTGGCAGAGCTCCTCACCAAACATGTGCCAGAAAAGAAAAAAAGATACAATTGCATGAACTAAGCAAAAGCTGGACGACTTGACCAGTATGGATTGGTAGCTTTAATTTGAAAAGCTCTTTTGCAATTATATGAGCTGAGATATGTACACACAAAAAAAGAGTTAAAAGAAACCGAAAATCGCAGTGTTCTTCTTCAGACATCGGAACAAATAAATTGAACTATAATTTCAATACGATCGAGACTCGAGAGAAAAAGAAGTTTGTTACATCCCAAGTACGTATGAAAATCATATCTTTTGTAACGCTATCCTCTGGACCAGTTGAGTTACGCTACGAGACGATAAGAAATTGCATTTAATCTTATAATAGGAGGATGTATAATAACTTTTGTTAAGTGCCAGGTGGGAGCTAAGGCCCTGTTTGGCTGGGTTGTCACCACAAGAGCCACACCACTCTCTTCTTATCCCCACACACTCTAATTATGTACTCCGTATATTATTATCATCCGATCCGGAGCTGGGGTATTATTAATTTACTCTCTCCGTCCCTGCTGAGTATTTGTCCACTTTTGGTTTCTTTTGGTCAAAATTGGTAAATCTTGACATCAAATTAAATATAAATGATATTAGATATTGATACAAAAAGAGTTTTCTTAGATTTATTATCTCAAATATTTTCAAAATATTATTTTATTTCATTAAAACACAATATATATTTCATTTAATTATAGATCAAAGGTTGAAAACAGTTGACTAGAAAAAAGTCAAAACTGAACAAATACTCAGAGACGGAGGTACTGTTATACTCCCTCTGTCCATGTATGATCTTCTCATTGTGCGTTACGAGGCTTGACCGACTCTATTTTCAATTCAATTTAATTGATTATAGAAGTAAAATTTTAAAATAAAATTTATATAGTAATAAACTACATGAAAAGTTCTACAAAACTAAAGATGACAAGACTATATTATTTTATGAAATGACTAGTAAAATTGAGTAAACAAAGTGAGTAAAGTTTGACCATGTGAATAGTAACTGGGAAGATCTATGGTGGATAGAGGGAGTATATAGACACACACAGGCAGGCAGGCCATGGAACC